AACCTTTTATTTAAGCATTTTTAACATCTTGCTGCCTCCTCAGCCCTTCCTGTTACCTCAGGTAACCCAGCTCAAGCACGGGCAGGAAGGCTATGAAATGGAAATCAAGCTTTAAAGAGTATTAGCCAGCAGCAGCTTGTCTGGATTAGGACATCAGCTCTGCTATAATCTCACAGCTCTACCAGCTTCAGCCCCTTCCCCTAAACTCTCTGTGTGTATGYCACCACTGGAAAACCACACAAAACCCAAAGTTTGGTTTGGGATAACTCTTGAGCTAATGCTGCAGCTGTAAGAAACCAAATCCCACTGTCCCTGTGTGTCCTCAGCACAGTCAGTTGGTCTGACACAGCACCAGAGRGAACACTCCACAGGCCAGGTGTGGACAAACAGCAGCTCTACCATGGGGATCCTTCCTCAGGCTGGAGGGAAAAAAATAAATCTGTGTTTATTGCTCCCACACCCCTTCTYCTTCATCACATTCCTCCTGTCTTATTCTAAGGCAAGGAAGGTATGCTTGGCCCAGAAATCAGCGAGGGCCAACCAGAGGATCCAGATTAGTGGAATTGAGCAGAATAAAAAGAAAAGGCTGAAATGGCAGGGGGTTGAAACTCCAAAATATATTTAAGATGGAAATGCTAGGCACCTACAGAAAATGTTAATACTGAATCATCAAGTATGTGTGGTCTTCCAGTACCTGAAGGAAGCCTACAAGAAAAAATGAGAGAGACTATTTACAAGACCATGGAGTACAGGACAAGGGGGAATGGCTTTAAACTGACAGAGAGTAGGGTTAGATTGGATATTAGGAAGAAATTCTTCCCTGTGAGGGTGGTGAGGCCCTGGCACAGGCTGCCCAGAGAARCTGTGGCTGCCCCATCCCTAGAGGTGTTCCAGGCCAGGTTGGATGGAGCTTGGAGCAACCTGGGATAGTGAAGGGTGTCCCCGGCCATGGCAGTGGRGAGGAAAAAGATGAGCTTTAAGGACCCTGCCAACCCAAACCATTCTGTGAYTCTACGATCTTTATTGCTTACAAAGGGGATTTTCAGATCTATTCTAAGCACAGCCAAAAACACTTGGAGCAGGCATAAAGCCCAGCTTGGAAGCACTCTTGTTAAAACTGCCRGGGCTTCAATACTGATCTGCCTTGAGACAACATGGGGCTTGTTTTCTGTGCCACACAAAATTTTGCCTTCCCAGTCTTTTAGAGAGTGCTCAGTGACTCTCTACTGAATAGGAAAAGGTCTCCTGGGCAGGTGAAGCACTGGAAAGAACCTGCACTTTTGTACCACACTGCGCTCCAGAGCTGCCAGTGACCTGTAATCCTTGTGTCATTTGTCACTGAAGTGACAGACCTACACAATGTTACTCAAAAACCAAAACCACACCCGTGCCACCCTTGCCCCAGCAYGCTGAGAGGTGACAAAACCAGCAGAGAACTTTAGCAGACACACAGGAGACACGTGAGCATGCAGAGGATGAAATTTTTGATGACAACTTTGGCAGAAATCGGGCTGTCTCTGCATACAAATGATGATGACTCAGGCAGCACCAGGCAACAGGAAAGGCAAGAGAGCAACTCCTTGCCAGGAAAGAACAGTTGGTAGCAAGAAATGGGAATGCTGCTATACAACAGGTGGGGGAGCTTTGGAAGTGAAATATGAAGTAAATGCTCCGTGCAGGTTCTTAAGCTGGCAGAGCACAGGGAAGCTGAAGCTGGGGGCCTTTCTCATCAGGATCTYTGCTCTTGTACTGACAAATGTTGTTCATGTTCTTCAAATAAAGCAGCAGCTTAGCAATGGCAACACAGATACCACCCAAAACATGTGTGTAACTCATGGGCGTGGCCAGGTGATCATCTCACCTGAGGGATGCCCACAAGCTGACTTCTCTCCTATGCCAGGTCAAAATTTCCAGGAGGAAGCTCTGTTTTGGTTCTGTCAAAGAGCCCTGSCAAGGCCCAGACTTACAGCAAACAGGACACACACCTTTGCAACCTTTTCCAGTTATTTACCTTCCAGGACACATGCACAAAACCCCCTCAGGTGACAGTCTTGCATCTGAGGCACCAGGAAATCATGCAAAGCAGCAACAAGTAGCACAACAAACGTGCACAACTCCAGACTGAGGAAAACCCAGCTGAATATAGGCAAAAATAGTTCAGATTGCCTAAGCCTGATYATTTTCCTAAATGCAGACATGTGGAGAGAACCTTTCTGAGGAGAACACAATCTAAATAAAATACACAAATGCAGGAGCACAATCACCCATTCCTGTCCCTCAGACTGAAAGTTCACACTCTCCAACAAGGCAGTTCTGGATAATTATCACTAGATTTGGGATTTGCAAACAACTCYAGTGTTTATAACACTCAGAAAGACTTAAACAACGTTGTCACTTCCTGTGAATTTACAGAAGTTTCACAAACCACACTGCCAGAACAGAGGAATTATTCACTAAACCCCAGCCTGACCCAGCACAAAGAGGCCCTAAAACATCCAGTTATTACCACACAATTGTGCTTCCCCACAGTTCATGGTCCTGCCAGCTACTACTGCCAGAGTCTGAACTCCAGCATTTATTTAAGGGAAAGGGAAAACAGCAGCTGCTCCCTGGGGCACTCTGCAACAGCTCCAACGTGCTCCAGGGGGTCTATGGCCTTGCCATGTGCACCCAGGACTTCCCTGCCCAGGTTACTGCCAACAATTTGAAGAAACCCTCAAGCAGCAGCAATTTCAAGCATCTGAATCAGGCTGGTGCTGCACCAGGGCYGATTTAGATCTCAAGTGTTTCACAATTCACATAGAAACTGAACAACACAACACAGTATCTGCTCAAAAAGAGGAAAAGGAAGGAGGAAGTGACAATGATGGGTATCATGAATCTTTTTGGCAGAGGAGGGACATCAAACAGCCATAATCAAGAGCTGTAAACTTTCAAAGACAGCTTTGAAGAAAAACAGGGAAAATAACCTGTGCAGAGCCATTTGTCCAAATGGATTCACACAGCTCTCCTATTCCATTCCACTTACTGAAACTTCTTAATATGGTGACAGAAAGGGAGGCAAGACACAACCCACTACTCTGTAGGAGGGAAAAAAAAATCCAACAAACTTCTGTCACAAAGTTCTGTAACCTTCCTTCTACCCTCAGGCACATTAACAGGACATAAACAGCACTAATGGCACCTGCTCTTTCCCAGCTCCAAGGTGTCAGCCTGACATTCATCCGCTTTTCCAATCTGGAATGATCTAGACAAACTCATCTTACATCCCTGGCCTGCTCACCCTGTACTGGAGAAGTCGCTGAGAGCCTTTTGGAAGGAGACAAGTGCTGCATTCACATTAATTTCAGAGCTCCTTTAACACCAGGAAAGCTGCTGGCAGCTCTTTCTGCCCTTCACACAAGAGAGAGCCACGAGGAAATTCCCAGTAGGGCCATCCTCAGCTCCCAAAGCCAGCTGAGCACTCCTTCCTCTCTGCCTGRGGGAAAGCCAGCAGGGTATGAAGATGCTTAAAGCAAATTAAAGGAACACCTYGGCTCTCCCAATCCCCTCCCAGTCTCTCCATGAGTCATCTCACACTCCAGCCATCAGTGACCTTTGTATCAGCACACATCCTTTATCCATACCGCTACTCCTGCAATGCATCATCACAGAAATATCCTCCTAGGAAAGCAAGGAGGAAATCCGTTTTACTCCTACAAGACTTCAAGGCAGATAACACATGTCTCAGCAGTTCATTTTCTCCTCTGTGAGGTAGGACTAATGCTCGCCTACCTTAATAAATTCCCACCAGGAACACCTTCAGTTCTCCGAGGATGCAGGGAATAATTCAGTAGTAATAACAGGGATGCGGGAAGGTGAAGCAGCTGCTCAAACCCAGACCCGACAATCACCACCAAACGCTTGTGAAAACCACACACAGAGCAACAGTTCTGTGCCTGGCACCTGCACCGGGCACAGGCTAACACGTCGGAAGAGAAGAGAAAAAGAAGTGCCGATGCTCCCTACAACATACACCGCTCCGAGCCCCGCGCCCGGCCCCTCCTGCCCCGACAACGCCGCGAACCGCAGAAACGGAGCAAACTTTGCTAAAGAAGCGCAGGGCAGGAGGGGCAGGAACCCACTCGGCTCCGCTGGGCCCCTGAGCACCGAGCGGCGGCCCGAGCTCTGCTCTCCGCCGGTGACACCGCCGGGAGACGCGGGACAGCTGCAAGGCCCCGGGCGGGACCGTGGAGCCTCCCCCAGCCAGAGGCCGGGCCCGCATCCCTCCCAGTGCGGTGCAAACCCGCCTGGAGCCGCCGCACCGAAGCCCGTGCCGGGGCGGAGGGCGGAGGGCAGCGGGCGGGACGCGGGGCCGGGCCGGGCCCCGCCGCACTCACCATCGCCGCCGACGCCGCCATCTTGGATCCACGTGTCGGCGCTGACGTCACCGGAAGCGGCGCGCGGTTGGCTGAGGGGCCGATCGCCATGGCGACCGCGGCGGCCYGGCAGGACCGCACCGAGCGGCCGCACTGCGCGATGGCGGAGCCGGGAACAGCTTAGCCCCGGACCATCCCAGCCCTTCTGCCTGGAGGAGTGGGGCGGGGGTCGCTGCTATGCTCCCCAGCGGGTTTGCGGCCCCGCGAAGCCGGCCGGGGAGGGGACGGCCCGYGCCGCCATCTTTGCTGAGGGCAGCGGCCTGTGCAGGGAGGGCGGGCACGACGCCGCGGCCGCCATGTTTGGGGAGGGCGGGAGGCGGTGGGGCCGGGAGGCTCCGGGATCGTTCAGACCCTCCCGGTACTTGCGATTCTACACCGGCGGTCCGCGCCCCGGGGCCTGCTCGGGGGCGCTGCGTTCCCGTCCTGCTCTGGAGCCCTCGCTCCGAGGGGCGCTGCGGGCCCCAACTTTGCCCCATCCGCATCTCCCCTGCTCGGGCTGCGGAGCAGGAGCAACGGCCAGGAGAGGAAAGATTGATAAATACTTTATTGATTACAAAAAAAAAACAAAAAACAGATCCCAAAGCAGAAGCGACGGTGTTTGCCTGTTGGTATCGAAAACATAATCACAGGCCCAGTCTCCCTGCTATAAGAGGTACAGGGCTGTCTTAAAAAAATACTGTTTACTCCTTTTCCTCAAATAACCTGTCATCAAATGATAAAATAAACAGCACTAAGTGTGCAGGGAGCACCTGGTCCTTTGTTGTCACTGCAAATGCCCCAGCAGACAAATCCTGCGTGTGAGTTGGGCCATGAGGGAAAGGGCTTCTTTTGCCATGGCTTTGRTCTCCAGAGGTTCCTCCCAAGGCAAGTGGAGGGGGATCCATGCAGGGATGGCCTGGAAAAGCACTGTCTGTGTCCATCTGCCCCTGTGGCACAGCCTCATGAAACCTGCGCTATACACAGGGGGTGCCATGAAAATACCGAGGAAGGAAACTCAGGAGGGAGAGAGGAGGAGGACACGTGTCTGTGACACCCGATATCCAGACCCCGGGATGGTGTGCTGATGATGAACCAACGGGCTGTGCTACAGCATACTCTGTGGGAATCCACTGGGATCAAATCACACGAGGAGCACAGGCACGCACGGCATTTCACCAAGGCCAGCASGCTATAGCACCTACTTCTGCAGAACGATGTTATAAAGTCTCGTAAGGATTAAAAATATACTAATCTGAGTTTTTTCTTTGCAGCAAAAGCAGATCGAGCCCTGTCCCTCCTTCTGGGGCCTGGGCATCCACTGTCCAGCCAGCGCTTCCTGGAGCAGTCTCCCCACAAGTACTCAGGCTCCTGGGAAAGGCACAAGGTATGGCCACATCTCTTCTCCCTCCRTCCTGCTCTTCCTCCTGCTCAGCCGTGCTGGGAAGGCTGTGGTTTCTGGGCCACTCTGGCAGGGGAAGCAGGGCACAAATGGGACAGGGAAGAGCTGGCACTGCTGCCCTGAGCATCCTGCGCTATGGCTGCTGCTGGTACTGGCTCTCTGTCGCAGTAAAGAAGTCCTCCAAAACACTTTGTATGTACTCAAAGGTGGGACGATCCTCGGGTTTGGTTTTCCAGCACCTCATCATGACATCGTAGAGCTCCTCGGGGCAGTTATCTGTGCGGGGCATCCGGTATCCATGCTCCAACGCCCTGATCACCTCCACGCTCGACATCCCTGGGAAAACAGGGTGGGACAGGTGAACATCACCTGGTTTATYGCTGATTTCTTTAAAAATCATAAAAACCCCAAACCCAAAACTACTCATCCTTAGGGCAATGTCTCCAGGAAGGAAAAAGAGTGGTTAGAGGGGCTGGGAAGGGGGAACTGCTGTTCCTGGTCAGGGAAATGTGGACAAATGAGATGCTGGGTTATTGTAGGRTGGAGTTTTATATCCCAGGTCAGATGGGGTTCATAATCACTCTGTATAAATTAAAATTTCCATATGCTGTGATGATCCATGGCTTCCAATGAAAACAGGTCAGTGTGGAAGCAGAGCTGCTCCTCAGAACAGCCCTTTGTGCCACTCCAGATTCTTCATGGTCCATTTGTGGTAGCATTTACAGAGTAATTGAAAAAAGGTACCAAAGTAATAATTATATAAAATACAGGATGGTCCCTAATAATAAGGATTTACAGGGTTTTCCCATGGAGCTGGAGGAGCTCAGGTCACCTGGATGGGGCCCAGAAAGTGGAATGTGTCTTTTGAACCAGATTAGAGGAGGCATTTCACCTCCCTACCTGGGTAGGGAATGCGTCCATATGTAATGATCTCGGTCAGGAGGATCCCAAAGGACCAGACATCAGATTTTATCGTGAAGGATCCATAGTTGATGGCTTCCGGTGCAGTCCATTTAATGGGAAACTTGGCACCTGGACAAAGAGATCCAACACGAAACACGAGCTCAACCCCAAGTGCTGAGAAATGGGTGGTGAAATATGGGAAACAGAAGAGGAACAAGTGAAGTGATGCAAATGAGAGGAGCTTCCCTCTGCCCACGTACCCAGCATGTCCCTCACACAATTGGGACCACCGTGGTGACAAGTGGCTCTAAGGGAGCCCCCCCAACCCTTCACCCCCAGCACCTTCCCGGGCCGTGTACTCGCTGTCCTCGATGACCCTGGCCAGCCCGAAGTCTGCAATCTTGCACACCAGCACTGCCGACACCAGGATGTTGGCGGCTCTCAGGTCTCTGTGGATGTAGTTCCTCTTCTCAATAAAGGCCATTCCTTCTGCAATCTGCCACAGGGGAACAAGGGAAATGCAAAGAGGCTGCTTGAAATAACACGCACCCTCTCAGCACCAAGGAAGTGAACTGCTTCTGCCAGCGCTCAGAAAGGGGTGAAAGGAGGCKGAACCACAGCAGGGGATGGATATCCCACCCCTGGAGCTGTTCAAGGTCAGGCTGGACAGGGCTTGGAGCWACCTGGTCTAGTGGAAAGTGTTCRTGCCTATGGCAAGGAGYTAGAGCAAGATGAGCTTTTAGGTTCCTGTGACATTTCTGCTTTCCAAGCAGGGAATCCCTTGCAGAAGAGGTTGGGTTTARGGTGACCAGCCCAACATGGCATCTTTAAGCTGCTGTGTGAGAAAGGTTGTGAAAACTGACAGCTGAGGAGCTTATGTGATCACCAGAGAGTGTCTGTGAGTGTTGCAGGGCAAGGTGTAACTGCTTCAACCATGAGGATGTGGAGAGGGGCAAATCATTCCCTGCTCAGGGAAATGTGAGACCAGTCTCCAGATACACCCACAATGCTCACTGTAATTGCTGCAGGCAAGGGTCAGYGTTCCAGAGCTTCCTTAGCCAGTGCAGAAAAGCACAGGGGAAGATGCGTGGGGTCTTCCAGTCTAGTGTCTGAAGAGTCAGTTCTGCCTGGGGGCAGGATGGCTGTGATGGTCCYTGACAATCCCCCCTCCCCGGTTCTGTCATCTGAAGTCTCTGCACTCAGTGCTGTGTGCGCAGCTCTCAGCCCTGATTAGGCAGAGATGACCTGGTGTGTGCACAACCAAACCCCAAAGTTGTGCTGTTACMCCATGCCTGGATGTGACCAGCATTCAGAATGCAAAGGGACTGGGGCAGCCAGAGGGGAGATCCCCCATCCCCATCACACCCTCACAAGCTGGCCCTGGGTGAGATGCAGCTCTCACAGAGCTCTCCCCACTAAATTCAGAAGCAATCAGGCAGTGCAAGAGCAGAAGGATCATTTCCATGAACACAGATGCATTTCTGCCTGCAGGGACTCAGCCCCAGCACAAGTGCYAGGCTGCTGCCTGTCCATGACAGCCCTTCAGCCTTTGCTCCCAAATGCTTCTCCGAGCAGCCCCTTGGAGCCGTGGGCCGAGCAGGGGTTGGCACGACCCAGCTTGCTGAGAACAGATGGTGTGCAGGAGTGCACAGATGATCCATAGACCCCAGCACAGCCGGCTCCAGCAGCCAGTTACCTGGTCTAAGCCCATGGGGTCTGGGCTCCTATCCTGGCTTTCCTATTTCTCAGGTTTCTCTATGAAATACTTGAGCTCAGCTCAAAGGGTCTTTGGGTTCAGCTCTCACCCAGGGGCACTGGAGAAGCAGCAAGGAGACTCAGTGGTTGGACAAGGGGTGAGGTRTTTAACAGCCCATTCACTGTATTCAAAATCAGCTCCTGAAAATATCCCTGAAATAACTATCACTGAGTCCTYCTGCCTCTCCAGCTGCCTTCCCCTGCCTGTGACAGCCCTCTGGTGACTTTAYTGAACCACAGCCCTCCCACAGGCATTCCCCTGGGGCAACACAGCCCACTACGCTCCCTCCTGAAGACTGGGAACTGTGCCTGGCTCAATCYGTGAGGCACTGCGAGCACACAGGACCATGCTGCAGGATTCTCGTTGAACCCACAGAGCTTCACACCACCATGGCACTGCCCTGAAGCAGGGCTGGGGATGGGTGGGATGGGTGGATGTGTGACCACACTGGGTTTGTGGGGCTTTGGCCAAGTTTTGCAGGAAAGGTTTGCAGGTAACTGTCACAGCAGCAGCAGTGGATAGAAATTGATAACTTTGCCCTGAGGTTGGTTGGGCCACACCAATCACCACCAGCACGTCCCAGAGAAAGGACTGTGCAAATGTGAGCTGTGGGAACAAACTCCAACCCTCATCCCTGCTTCCTCCAAAAAGCACAGCAGCCCTGCAGACCATGAGGGCTGCAGGAACCATGGCGGCTTTAGGAGTCATAGATTTTCCAGCCGCTCAGAAGGAGCAGCCTGGCCAACCCTCTCCCAGGCTCTGTGCAGCTCTGCTGGGCGCTGCTCAGGTGCAGGCRGGCTGGCTGAGTGCTGCAGACATCAGCGTGGTGAGGGAGGAGCTGCCACTTCCCCTTTCACACATCCCTGTTCGTGAGAGGTCAGTGGGATGGGGATTGTGAGAGGGCAGTGGCTGCCCACAGGAAAACCTCCCTTCACCTCCAGCACTGCTCAGACCAGACTTCTAAGTGGTCCTGCACAAGTCTTAGCTAGGTTCCCAGGGTGCTCAGTCACGCTTTGCAGGGGGACAAGGGGAACTCAGAGCCAGGGAAGGTCTGCTCCTTCCTCACCTGGGCAGAGAAGTCAATCAGCTTTGGGAGCAGCAGCTTGTTCCCCTCATCACTCTTCAGGAAATCCAGCAAGCTCCCTGCAGACAGGGAAAGGTGCATGGTTCAGGTGATGATTCAGCCTCAGAGCGGCACAGGGTCCAAGTCCCCAAGCAGGACAAGGGGACTCTGGAAACACATTTGAGCCCCCATCCTGCTTCGACGGATTGGGCCGAGGGGGGAGCACCTCAGCAGGCTCACTCCTGCCTTGTACTTCTCGGGGGTCCYTCATCTCCCAGTGCTGTCACCACATCCCCTCTCCCAGCACCCTGCCCCAAAGCACTCAGACATGCTGTGGCARGAGCCAGAACTGCTCCCAGAGTCCTGGGAACTGGTGCAGAGCCCATAGCCGAGCCTGGGGATGTAGAAGGGGTTGATCCTGCACCATCCCAGGGCACCTGGGTGCTACCGCTTGGTCTGACCCACAGCCACTAATAAGGGATGACAGTGGCACCTTTCTCCATGAATTCAGTGATGATGAAGATGGGYTCCTCCCTGGTGACCACTGCGTGCAGCTTGACCAGCTTGTCGTGCTGCAGAGTCTTCATCAGATTCGCCTCCTCCAGGAAGGCTTCCACGGACATGCTGCCCGGCTTCATCGTCTTCACTGCCACYTTGGTGTGCTTGTTGTAGGTAGCTGGGGGTGGCACAACAGACCATTCCCAGGCTGCTCTGGGAGCACTGGGGTTTGCAGCCGAACCCCAGTCCTGCAGACAGAGCTGCTGCATGAAGGCTGGAGACCRCACACAGCCCAGGGCTGTCCCCATCTGCCCAGTCCCACCCAGCCCCTGCATTAAGGCAGGGCCACCTCCATGGTCCCTGCTCCTCCYCACAGGCTGCTCCTTTTCCACCCCACCATCACTCCACCTCTTCTCCCATCCCTCACCCTTTTTCCTTCACCATCACCTTCACCATCCTCYCAGCTGTCTCCCCCTCACTCTCACCCATCCACACTTCTCCAAACTGTCCAGCTCCCAGCTTCCTCTCCAGCCTCAGTGACTCSCGAGGGATCTCCCAGGCATCCTTCTCCCAGGGCTTCTGTGGTTTGGGAACACGGCAGGGGTAGGTGAGCTTCTGGCACAGCCCGTCGCTCTGACCTGAGGGGAGCGTCCAGGGCCGTCAGCCAGCCCATCTCACCAACCATACTGTGCCTCGAGGTGGAGCCCTGGGCACAGTGGGTATTGAGGGACACCAACACCACAGCTGCGACAGCCCACAGGCCAGCCACGGCACCAGCGGAAGGTCTGGAAGTTGCTGTGGTCTGGAAGTTGCTGCACATCACAGCTGGAGCCACAGCAGGAGCCCAGCAGTGATGGGAGCCCCGCAGCCTCTGCACACCTCCGGCTGTCTGCTTGGCTCAGGGACAAAGCCCCATTCAGGAATGGGGGCCAGGCACCCCAGGGCTCACCCTTGTAGTACTGGACCAGCTCCTGCAGAGTGTTGAAGTTGTTGCGCGGGGAGATGTAGAAGCCGCCGCTGTCCAGAGTCCGGATCTTGTAATGCTTCACTGCACCGCCCCGCAGCTCGTCCCCGTCCCGCACCGACAGCGAGTAAGAGCCTGGGCAAGAGGGGTGAGCTGGCAGCTCCCACAGGAACACATTCGCCTTTTACCCCGTCATGTCCTGCCCCTGGCATGCACTGAGCCATTGCCCAGCAGAGCCACCAGCCCCCATCCCACTGGGTGCTGCCACCAGCCCTTTGGCCCCAGGCCAGCTCTGCCTGCACCCCAAACACCTAAAGCAGCCTCAAAGGGCACATCCCCTGTCCCTGGCACAGAGCTCAGAGATGTGGCAGCACCATGGGCTCTTGCAGGGACACTTGCAGGAGAGCATGGGCCTCCCAGTCCCTGCCTGCAGCACAACAGCACCCCTGAGCTGGGGAGGGAGCTGTTCTTCCAGGCAGAGGTGGATGAGGGAAGGCTCTTGGGCAGCTGTTCCCCACCACTGTGCTGTGGACACCCTTCCACACCTTTTGTCGTCTCGCTGTCCCTTATCATGAAGGACCCGATCATGTTCCCGGGACCAAGGAGCTGCCGCTCTGCGTCCTTCCGGCTGATGTCCTTGAAAAACCACCTGCAGCAGAACCAAAGGAGCCAAGGAATGCTGGTGTGGGGCAGGGCTGGGGACAGTGAGAGGAGTGGGGACRGTGGCAGTGGGGAAGTGTGGGACAGCGTGGGACTGGGATCTGACACAGAGGAATGGACTCACTCCTCTGTCTCCAGCGAGTTGACTCGGGCAACGTAGTTGCTGGGGATGAAGCCTTCACATCCCGTCACCAGTGACCGTGCTTGCCACCACTCCCCTGAGCTGAAACAGAAATGKCATTGGGTTGGCTCATGACACCTGGCACTGGGCACCACCAGCTCCTCCAGGGGCAAATTCCAGAAAAAAAACACTGACAGGGCTATGCAAGCCATCAGGAGACCCTGGACAGGGATCTGCCAGCAGCACTTACTTCTCCAGGACCTTCATTCGCTCCCCTTTCTGGAAGCTGAGGTCCCCAACATTCATGGCCTCRTAGTCGTAAAGTGCCAGCACCACACTGTCCCCCGAGCCTGCAATGAGGGAGCTCCCTGGGCACGCCTCCCCATGCTGGGATGGAGGAGGACCCCACTCCTGCCATGAGCACTGGCCAGGACCCCCAGCGTACCCAGCATCTCCATCTTCATTGTGTCACATCTGCCTTCASGGGAGCCCAGAGCTCCCATCCCATCAGGACTGGCAGGATTCTCCCCAGGTCAGAGAGGATCCACTGCCCCCACGTGCCCCGCCCCCTGCACCCACTCGCAGCTCCCTTGTACCTACCATCCTCGGGCAGGGGCACAGCCATGCTGGGGACATCATTGTTCTACAAAATGGGACAAAACCACAGAGTGACATYACAGGTGGCAGAAACCCATTTCCCACGGGGATCTTGGCCCCAACAGCAGTGGCAGGGGCAGGAGGGCACCCGAGGGGCAGCATCAGCCCCCCCTGACACAGCAACCCACCCAACACCAACACCTCCATCCTGTCCCAACACTTTCCTTTTTCTCTCGTTTTCTCCTGGATTCCCATCCAATCCACTCTGTGCTTTGTCCTGGGCTCCCACCCCACAGCCAAGTTGAAGCTCCTGTCCAGTGTCTGGTACTTGCAGGACCCACAGCTGGCCCCACTCTCAGTGCTGGTAGCACTGTTGAGGAGAGGGGCTGAGCCCCCTGAGCCCGCTGATCACTCAGCAGCTCCCACTCACCCTCCTGTTGGTGGCTGTAGGGTCCCTCACATAGTGGCCCTGCTGGACACTGCAGGGGCCAGGGTCAGGGTCAGGATCAGTTTTTATCGTCTTCTCTTGGACTTCAGCTTCCTTCGACCTCACGCAACCCATGCTGCAGCCAAGGAAGGGGAAGTGAGACAATTGCAACAGAGGTGAAAGCCTCGCTCCAGCCCCACTCCAGCCCCATTCCCAGCAGTTCCCACCCGGCATGGGGCCCCAGTGCCCAGCTGGCTGCACTGCTGTGGCAGAGAAAGCTTTGCTCCCCACCACAGCTTCAGGGTGCTGGGGAGYCCAGTGACATGCTAGAGAGGAAAAGAGATCTCCAGGAGATGTTACAGGAGGTGAATTTTGGGCAGATGACAGCAGCTGCTATGGAGCAGCTTCCCAGCCCTTCCCTGATCCAGGACACGGTGAAGGCACTGGGCACCATGGCAGCAAAGAGCCACACTCGGCATCTTGTGCAAGGAGGGACCCTCATCATGTTGGGCTTCCCTGCAGCTCAGGGGCCCCCAACAGCACCCCAGTGCCTGTGGTCCCCCCCTGCTCTCTGCTGGGTGGGAACTGCCCCAAACAGCCAGTCCAGGGCAAAGGCAAATGCTCAGCTTTCTTTAGCTCCCCAAGAAGAAACTCGGTGGGAAAAAATGCTGCAAGAAGCAGCAAGAGTAGGAAACCCCTTGCAAATGTACTTCCCTTGGCCAGGGAGACCTGGGCGCAGAAAAAGGAGAAGATGCTGGTGGTGACAGAGAAGGAGGAAGCTCAAGGCTGAGCCCTTGATGTGCACAGCACAGCTCTCGAGGGACATCGCTGTCACCTCTGCAACACACCATGGGCACTCCTTGTCATTCCCTGTGTGCCAAAGCCAAGGGCAGAGCAGGAGCAGCAGTGACAGCCACAACAGCTCATCCCCCTCACTGGGGACACCCTGCACACAGGCTCAGGACCGTGCTGGATCCGTGCTGGGAAACCCAGATGGTTCCCAGCTTAAACTCAGACGGCCCACCCATCACCACGACAGGTACTTGTGCCTTGTCCCACACCGGCTCAGGGCATCCAGCCCTACAAAGCACAAACATCCTTGACGGTCCAAGGGTCATTCCCACTGGCTCCTGTGGCATAGCTGGCATTCCTGATGTGTCCCACCCTGGAGAGCCATGTCCCAGGGCYCATTCGGTGTCCCCACTCATGAGGMCCAGGTCGGATGGGGGTGCCCATCGCTCCCAGAGYACGGCTGCTCGCAGCCCCCGGCCCTTGCTGCCCCATGCCCTCGGTCCCCTACAGCCCCTGCAAAGCCACCGGCAGGGACCCCTCGTCGGGCTACACCGTGCCCAACCGGCGCTGCACCGGGACCCGTGGGATTCCCGGCCGCCGCCCCATCCCGGTCATCCAGGGTCTGCCGCTCTGAGCGCGACCGGCGCGGGGTCGGACCCGCTGGGCTGCCCGGGACCGGCTGTGGGGCTCCCCCGCCTCCCTCGGGGCTCCGCTCCCGGAGCTCTCACCTCCGCCGCCGTCCTGGGACACGTCTCCGTCGCCGGTCCCACTCCCAGTCCCCGTCCCGGAGCCCAAGCTGCCGCCGCCGCTCCGCTCTGCCCGGTTCGCTCCCGCCGCCTGCCCGGTWCGGCCACGCCCTCCCGGTACGGCCCCGCCTCCGACTCGGACGGGGCGGGCGCGGCCGGAGCGGGGAGCGGAGACCATCGCCTCACACACTGCACGGGCACCCGCAAGGACATTCCAACCCTGCWTGACCCCACTGCCCTTAGGGGCCCCCTGACGGGTGCCAGAGCCCTTCTGTCCCCCCCGCTACGCCCGGGACACCGGGCGCGTTTGGGTCCCGCACCCCAGAGCAGCCCCCGGGATGTTTCCTCACCTGGTGCAGGGCCATGGAGGGCGGAGTGGGACACGAGGGGAGCACAGGACTTGGCATCAGCCGGGGTCTGTGTCCCCAGGAAGGAGATAAACCCCTGAGCATCCTATGGTGGGGTGCAGGRCATGAGGGGGTGCAGGACTCAGTGGGGTACATGGAGCTGCTTTGTGAAGCCCAGCTCAGAGAGGTCCGGATATCCCTTTTGTGTCTCTGCTGGCCCTGGTATTCCCATGCCAAAGCTCCTCTTGGCAGCCTACCCAGCCCTGCAGTGTTCCAGCCTTTCCTCTGGACTGCCCAGACAAATTCTGAATTCGGGACGGAGACAGCATCAGCAAGGGGACCCACGGCTCTGTGTGACCCTGCCCCATACGGTGCTGCTCGGGTTCAGGGTGTCAGGGGAAGCAGCCAGGGCGCAAGAGCGTCTCACCTCATGAGGGTTTGTTTGCATATGTAAATTTTTTAGGAGAAAAATAAGTTCCTCTGGTAGCCCCAGCATCTGCTGCCCACACACAGCACTCTCCTGTTGTCCCCAAAAAAGGACATTGGCCAGGGGATGTTGGCTCGGGGCCATCAGCCAAAGGCCATCAGCCGTGGGATATTGGCTGGGGTACAGTGGCCAGCGGGAATCAGCTCGGGRACGGTGGCCAGGGGACATCAGCTGAGGTCCATCGGGCGGCGGGGAGCACGGCCCCGTCCCTCGGCGGCGGAGGGGCTGCAGGGTGGGGCTGCAGGAAGCCGGGTCCCAGGGCAGGAACTTCCTTTTGTGAAACACCCGCAGCCGCGACCGGCCGAGTGTCGAGTGTCGCACAGGCGTTTCAGGCAGCAGCGGGCCAGCTGCGGCCACCAGCCCTCTCCTCTGCAAGCACACTCTTCTGACCTCCCCCATTGCTCTGAGCATCCCCTGGAGCCATCCAGGAGCAGCTGGGAGCACCCTGACTCTGACAGTGACTTCCATGTGACATTGGAATGGGCGGGTGCCCAGCCCAGCAGCCCCCACCCCAGTTCACCCCCACACTGCAGCAGCCCCTGCACCCTGACAGGACCTTTCCCCAGGGAAGAACCTGTTCTGCTCCCAGCCCCAGCATTTAATTGAWATCTGCAGAAATTACAGCACATGTCTCCCTCACAGCCACAGCTGCTCTGTGATTCCAACAGCCTTGACAAGAGCTGACAGGGCAGTGTAGGGGCCTGTCCCCTCCTGTGGTGACAAATGCACCCTCCCCGATGCTGGGGCAGAGCTGGGCACCTGCTGAGTCTGGTCCCGGAGGTGCAGCACGGTATCAGTGAGCAGGGAGGAGCCAGCAGGCTTTTGGTRTTGGCTCACAGGTAGTTATCCTCTTCCTCCTCCTCCTCCTCCTCATCCCGTGCCAGTGCCTCGATGTCGTGGGTGATGTCGGTGATCATGCGGTTGAAGGACTCGGACTCGGAGCGCAGGGACCAGCTGTCGTAGCTGCGCACSGCCGAGGCTGACGTGTTGCTCATGCTGCGCTTGATGCGGCCGAAGCTGTCGGTGAGGATCCCGCCCTCCCGGATCCCGATGCTCTCCAGGAAGGTCTCAAAGTACCCGATGTCTTGGTCAGGGATGAAGGGCCTCATTCCTATCACAGGCACCGTAAGCCTCGGGAGGCTGCCCCATAGGGGTACAATGCCAGCCCTACTGGCTGCTGGYAGCGAGCTCATCCCATCCTGTCCCCAGCAAACAATAGGGTCCTGACATCCCCTGAAGCAGACCCAGCACCCCACCCTCAAAGGATGAACAGACATCACCAGGGTGACAGGGTGACACAGGGTGGCTGCAGACACTCACCCAGGAGGAGGAACTTCCTACGGTCCCCATAGAGGCGCAGGAGCTCGGTGCAATATTCCTGCACCGGTGTGCCCAGCCGGTACTCGCGGAGCAGGACGGCAAACTGCTGGATCTCCTGTGGTGACAGCTTGTTGCGCAGCTGTGGTGACACGGGGATGGCTCAGGATAGGGCAGCACACAGCCCCGACCCACCATACTGTGTCCCACAGCTGTTCTCTCATCTGATGATCCCCCACCCTGGCTGCTGCTTGTCCCCGTGCCATCCCYGTGCCCKCACCGTCACCATGTAGTCCTGCAGCTGCTCCAGCCCTGCGCCGCTCTGGTCGCTGCCACTGCAAGCGGTGGCCAGGCTGTGGTGGGAGCGGTGGAAGGAGGGCGAGGAGGTGCCACTGTAATATGCTTCAAAAGTCTCGTGGGAGCCATTGCTGTGGGAGGACACCGGTCAGAGGATCCCTGTACCCCTCGTGTGCCCTGCTGACCCCCACCCCTGAACAGCACCCACCATCAGGTAGAGCTGGGGCATCCCTGTAGCTGGGACTGGCACCCACCCGAGGGCAGGGGCACCCACCCAGGGGCGGGGGGATCCCACCCCAGTCCAGGGGCACCCACCCCAGTCCAAGGGCACCTTAGGGAAGCCAGACTCACAAGGAGCTGCAGCAGCTGTAGTCAGCGTCGTAGCCATACGTCCCATCTGTGCGGCAGCTCTCGCCTGGGGAAGGAGAGCTGAGATCCCGTAGAAAGGACAGAGCCCCCACGATGTGTCCGTGTACCCCCCCGTCAGCCCCCTGCCACCCCACTTGGTGTCCCAACTCCTGYCCGTAGCCACTCACTCCTGCTGGAGAGCCAGGGCCGCGTGGGCGTGGATGTGTAGTGGTACCCGGCACGGTCCACGCATTCGATGCTCTGGTCGCCGTAGATGATCTGGAACACCTGGCAGATGAGCGCGCAGGACTCCTCGCCAGCATCCTGCAGCGGGAGGGAGGAGGGCAGTGAGTGCCGGTGGGCGGGCGAGCGGGCGGTGGGTGGCACATGCCGGGACCGCTCACCCTGTTGGGCACGGCGAGRATGATGAGGTTGGAGTAGGCGTCGGGGCAGGGCTCCTGGGGGTCCAGGGGGTTGCTGCCGGCGTGCCGCCGCTCCCAGCTGCCAAAGCCGGTGCCGCGCTCCCAGCTGCCGCCGGCGGTGCCGGCCCTCCGCCGCTCCCAGCTGCCGCCGCACGGCTGCCGCCGCTCCCAGCTTCCCGAGGGCCGCCCGCGCTGCCGCCGCTCCCAGCTACCGCCCCGCCGCCGCTCCAGGCTGCCGCCCTGCCGGCCCTCCTGCCCGCCCCGCGCCGCCCGCCAGTCCAGGCTGCAGATCGTGTGCCGCCGCTCCATCGGGCCCCCGAGCCGGCCCTCGGGCCACGAGCCCCCCGCACGCTTCTCTGCGGGAAACGTCTCCGGGAGACCGGCCGGGGCCGCCTCGGGGTGCGCTCCGGCGGGGACCGGGTCCACTCCCAGTCCTGGGGCGGTGGGGACAGACAGGACWTCAGGGCGGGGGGCTGCGCTGCCCACCCTGCCTGGCCCCCAGCCCCTGCCCTGGCCTCCGTGTCCCACCAGCCCAATGGGATGCAGAGGGATGGGGGTGTGGGGTGGGGATGTGGGTGCCCCAGTGGATTGGGGGCACCCCTCCGAGACTCTGTATGGCRGGGGCGACAGGACTGGGGACACTCCCAGCCTTCAGCCTCCGGCCAATAAAGCAAACGGAGCTGGGAGTGGAGAGCCGGGACCTCCCCACCGGGGACTTGCAGGCAGTGCCCCCCTCCAGCCCCACACCAAGTCGGGGCAACGTGGGATTTTGGTTCTGCCACCCCAATAGATTTCGGCCCCCATCACCCGCTGTGCTCCAGCCACTCGTGCCCAGGGACACAGGGCACTGAGGGGCTGCTGCGCCTCTGCTAGTGYCCCCGGCCGGACCCCCGCACCGGTTTTGAGGATGAGGAGGTGCAGTGCATCGTCGCGCAGGTAGGAGGCCGCTGCGATCTCGTGTGTGGGGATTCGCAGGATCAGCTCCTCGTTGTCGCGCCAGGTGAGCAGGAGGCAGCGTGCRGAGAGGCTGAGGATGCTGTCCTGCTCCGGCGTCGTCTGCAGCGGCAGCTCCTTCAGCTGCTGCGGGGACAGAGCGCGGGGAGAGCTTGGGGCACCCGGCAGTGTGGGGTACCCACCGCCCCACTCTGGGGAGTGGGAATCCCTCTTACCCTGGCCGTGTCCAGCAGCTGCAGCACCTCATCCCGGCTGGAGGGGTTCAGGGAGGATGTCACCCATGTCAGGTGACCTAAAAACTGGRGGAGAAAAAACCCGCGGCAGCTTGGGGAGGCTGAGCCGTGCACCCTCCCCTTCGCCCCACGGAGGTCAGAACACACCTCCCTGCAGTACAGGGAGACCCTGCAGTGAGGGGGTCTTCCCTTCYCCCTCCTTGGGTGTTTGCCTGGGTAAGGAGGGGACCAGGACCCTTCTGGCAACTCTGTGTGGCTCTCAGCAGTGACCCCGGGCATCTTTGGGTATCCCTTTACCTTCACCTCCTTCTCCACGTAGTCGTGCAGCAGGATCTGCGGGTCGATCAGGTAGTCGGGGGGGTAGAGGGGCACGGAGTGCAGCGGGCGCCGATAGACGCTGCTGCGGAGCGCTGCCCTCCGCGCAGCCTTGGGGAAAACCAGCCGCTTGATGGGCGACACGAAGCCCTGACAGAGAACGGGCACGGGGAGGGGTCAGCGCCAGGCACCCAACCGTGGCCCCCACACACGGGGCCCGTGGCACCCAGCACTTTGAGGGGGGCTGAGCACCTCTCTGCCGGCTCTTTGCATTATTTGGGAGTTTGGGGGAAGCCAGTGGGGACCCCACTGCTCCCCGCTGAGGGGTAGAAGGGGTACAGGACCTCTCAAACCCGTGCGTCTCACCCTCACCCGCCCTCCTACCAGCYCCCCCGGACATCAGCTCCAGCCCCACGCACCTTCTTCCCCTTCTTGGCCTCACTGTCCATGGCGGAACGCGGTGCTGAGGCCGCCCCCACTGCCCCGCTCGGCGCCGCGGCACTTTCCTGTGTCGGAAACTCCACCAGGATAGCCGGGATGTGAGTTCCTGCCTCTCCTGGGGGGTGCTGGGACTGGGCTGGCCTGAGCTGGGCTGGCACTGAGACTGGGACAGGACTGGGACTGGATTTGAAGTGGGCTGAGATGGGACCGGAGCAGGTGCTGGACCAGAGCAGGTGCTGGTGGTGGTGCCTGAGGRACTCTGCCGAGGAGCAGCTCCTACCCCTTGCTGCAGGGCTCTTTCCTGGGACTGGGGCTGCTTCTGTTTCCCTATAACCCCACGACAGCCCTGTCCTCAAGGGGCAGCTCTGGGGGCTCCCAGCCCTCGCTGCCTCCATCTGTCCTGCCCACACAGAGCCCTGGTACTGGGAACATCCCGGGCACTGGGAACATCCCTGGCACTGGGAACATCCCTGGCACAGGGAACAGCACTGGCAGGAGCCTGGGCAGCTGCACCCAGCACCCCGTCCCCACAGCTGCCCGTGGGGTCCGAGCCCACCGTGGGTCTGGGGTCGGCCGGGAGTCGGGGCTGCCGGCACGGAGGAGGTTGGCCCKGCAGTGGCCATGTCCGGCAGTTTCCTCCCCGGGAGGCTGCATCCTGCCTGTGCACCCCTTCCCTGCCGGTCGCCACGCCAGGGCCACCGGCACCGGCCAGGGCCACCGGCATCAGGCAGGCAGAGCTGCTGCAGCCATCCTGCTCTGTTACTGATGTCCCCAAGCACCTGGGACAGAGTGGCATCATCCTGCCCTGCTTTGGAGCCCCAGCTGTGAGCTGGAGATGCTGATAAGGACAGGATCCCACAGGCAGGGCTTATTGAAATGAATTTAATATCTCATGTTGCAGCAAAATTAAAAATATACAAAAAGTTTGTGGTATACAAAAAAGTCTCGGGACGGACCCCGGCCTCCCGCTCGCCCCCGCCCGCGCCGAGGGTCCCAGAGAAGAAGGTGGCACACAGAGTATTTACAGTACGTGACAGCAGCCGCCGGGTCCCAGCGCTGGGGGGTTCAGGGATGTGGCTGAGACCCCGCGGCAGCCCCTGCCAGAACGAACTTCCCTCACTCCCTGAAGCTGGAGCAGCCCCGCTGCCACACCTGGGTGACACCCCCAGGGACCAGGACCCCCCATCCCCCGTGGGAGGTCGGGCATCCCATCCTGGCTTGGCCCCCGGGCGTGCCCCCTCGTCACCCTGGTGGGGATGTGCTGCCATCCCGGCGCTGCCGCTGGCAGCAGGGCACTGGGTTTGGCTGCCCCTGTGGCACAGGCTGGGCGAGGGCAGGGGGGATGGCCTGGGGCAGGAGTGAGACTGAGGGGTCCCCCGAACCCCACACGTGGCCAGACTCCCCCGCCCAGAGCAGCCCAGGGCTGAGGGTACCGTGGCTTGAGTGCATAGAAAAGTGTCCCTCTGACCCGCCAGCGTGGCCCTGGGGTCCCCAGCCAAATCCTGGCTGTAAGGGCATGGGAGATGCCACCAAATGGCATCTTTACCCTGGGGTGGACAGGGAGAGGGGCTGGGGCAGGGGGACCCCAGAGGAGCCGCCCCAGTCCCCGTGTGCCATCCTCAGATCCTCCGAGAGCCGGACCCAGTGAGGAGCTGCCACCACCGGGGCACCGTACAGGGGCTGCAGTGACACTGCTTGATGCCCGCAGCGGTGAGCCCCTGGACCAGCCCGGCACCCCTGGCTGCTGCCCCCACCCTCCCTGAGGAAAAGAGACCCCGCCCCAGAGCTGCCCCTCTGCCGGGGCTGCCCCAGCGCGACCAGCACACACCGCTGGGGCTGCCCACGATGGAGGGGTGCTGGTGGTGGGGACCCAGCCCGCTGCCCAGCCCCAGCCATGCTCTGCACCCTCCTCCTAAAGGGTATCCAAGGCTTCCAGTTAGCACCAGTTAGCACCAGTGACCCCAGCGATGGCCAGCCCAGCCTGCTGTCACCCCAGCTACCAAGAAATGGGAAACAAAAGCAACATGATGCCACCGCCACCGCACTCCCACCCACCCCGGCCGCGTCACAGGGCCGGGCACCCACACTGACCCTCAGGGACCCCACACCCCACCCATTCCCAGGTGCAGCTCTCCCATCCCAGCCCTCCCATCCTCTAGTGCCTCACACGGTGCTCCATGGCACAGAGGGGCTCTCAGTGCTGCCCAGGCTCCCCAGCCCGGGCTGGCCTTGGCACTGTRGCTTGGGGCAGCCAGAGGCTGGGACCCCGTGGAGCCACGGCGTGGGCACAGGGGACGAGGGGAAGGCACAGGGGCCGTGGGTGTGAGGGGCAAGGGGCTGGGGCAGCACAAGGCTGGGGGTCCAACAGCTCCCCTGCCCTGCAAACCCCTGCCAGCCCCTGCACACGCACACGCACACACACACGTGCTCACAACCCCCCCGGGACAGTCCCGACCTGGGGGGCACAGGGTACATTCAGCATAGCCCCTCGGTGGGGGCCGACAGATCCGGACAGGACCAGGGACACATTCAAACCCAAAGCCCAGAGTAGCCCCACTCCTCTGGGGAGGCAGGAGCAGGCAGGGGCACACAGGGCAGGGACAGGGACAGGGACCGGGACCGGGACAGGGACAGGGACAGGGACAGGGACAGGGACAGGCAGGGCAGAGGGACACGGGTGAGGTCAGGGGAGGCAGGGTCCCAGCTCAGGTTTATACTGGGGAGCTGGAGGGGGCTGATGCTGATGAAGGAGTGAATGGAAATGCTCCCGGGTGGGAAGTGATGCCGGTCCAGGAGAGGAGAACGGCTGAGGGTGAATCCCACTTTGGRGAATCCGGGGATCGCCGGCGGCCCCGCACACACCCCTCAGTGGTGCCAGCCAGGCCCTGCCACCCCCAGCCCCAGCGGAGGTAGAAAATGTCACACAAAATGTCACCATCCAGGTGAAAACAAACCCGATGAGATGAAGCAGTCCCTGTGGGGATGGGAAGGAGGATGGGGTGCAACCATCCTGGCTGCAGCTGGAAACCCAGCTCAGAACCAGGGGTGCAGGGTTTGTGCCCACCCATGAGAGCCCCCCCACAGGAYAGTGGAGACCCCATGGAGCTGAGGACATGGCTCAATCCCGAGCCAGGGGTACTGAGGGTGGGTGTGAAGGGGTTCACTCAGGGCTGGTGCAGCGGGGTGTGGGGGAAGTGGGAGACATGGAGGRGGCTGGATGGACCCCGGCTGTCCCTGCCCCAGCTCCCTGGGGTTGATAAGCCCCATGCACACCCCAGTGCAGCCATGTTCCATCCCCACGGCTCTGCCGCGGCACAGGCACCTGCGTTCCCATGTGCTGCCCAAGGTGCCCCACGGTGCCCCACCGTGCCCCTGGCACTGCCAGCCCCCATCCCAGGGTGCCCCCGTCCCCACCCCGCACCACTGATATGGGCYACAGCTCCCACCACCTGGGCTCAGGCACCGGTGAGGTATTTTGGCAAGGACGAGCCCTGGAGGGCGTGGGGGCGGCCGCGCTCGGGTGGGACGGGTCTGAGCTGCGGGAGGGCAGCGCGGGGAGGGGATAGCACCAAGAGACCTCCCCGGCCACCACCCGCGGGGCGCTCGGCACGRCCACACGGCAGCGCCGCAAACCCGACAGAAGGCAAACGGCTGYGGAGACGCAGGGTGGCCTGGGTGGCACCGGAGCTCCCGCCGCAGCCTTGCRCCCCTCACCCTACACGGTGGTCTCATACTCCAGCACCTCCTGCGGGGCGCCGGGGGTGCGGTACTGCAGGCGCGGGGTGGTGGGMGACGCGTACTCCAGCGCCAGGATGGTCTTCCGCAGGCGCCGGTCGATGAAGTGGGCATCCCAGGCCGGGTACTTCTTCCTGGGCAGGTCAATGCGGATGACGGGGCCCTCTGTCCGCGGGGCACGGGCGGCCGGCGCCGGCGGGGCGCAGGGTCTCACCTGGAAGACGGGCACGCAGCTGTCCCGCTCCCCCGGCGCCCCGTCCCGCTCCCCCCCTGTAGTCCGCGGCAGCGAGCGCGGGGGGCTGGTGACGGCTTCCACCGGGGACACCGGCACCGGCGGCGGCTCGTGCCGGAAGATGCAGCCCACGTTGCGGTGGCTGAAGATGGGGCCGTTGGGGTGCAAGAGGCAGTAGTAGATGAACATGAAGAAGATGCCGAGGGCGAAGCTGGAGCTGACCACGCAGACGAGGATTAAGGCGTTGAAATCGGAGATGGCCTTGCGGTCGTAGTAGAGGAACCAGAGGATGGTGAGGGCGGCGTTCTCCGACAGTGTGATGATGTAGTAGATGCACATGCGATAGCGGCTCCGTCCCTCCTTGACGTTGAACCAGCAGAAGATGTAGATGATGCCCACCACCATGTTGTAGATGATCTCCTCCCACTTGGACATGCAGAAATCCGTCTCACCCTGGATGATCCAGAAGGTCATGATGCACCAGTGGGTGACGATGAAGATGCCRAAGTAGAGCTGGAACACGGAGGCGAAGAGGGCAAAGGCGATGGCACGGGCGGCGATGGTGAAGAGGTGCCAGAGGATCTGCACCACGGCACCCTTGTAGGACATGGGCATCTTGTCCTCCCGYGAGTCCCGCAGCACCTTCTGGTAGGACGCAATCATCCAGGCCAGCGAGACCAGCGAGGCTGAGGCCGAGAATCCTGCAGGGAGTGGCCGTGAGAGCCCGCAGAGGCCGGGCACCCCCCTCCCGCCRCCCTGTCCCCTGCGAGGGCTGTCCCTTACCCTGCAGCGGCTCGATCTTGCTCTGCTGCACCATGATGCTGAGCTGCAGCACGAGCTGGGGCGCGCTCTTGAGGAAGGCCTCCAGCAGCCGCAGCATGCTGATGTCCGCGCTCTCGAACATCATCCTCCAGTAGAAGTGGCGGCGGCGGTGCTCAGCCTGCCACCGGCTCTGCAGCCCCAGRTAGAGTGTGCGGAGGTACCTGTGCRAGACAGGGGAAGGRTGAGAYGAGCCCACACTGCCAGATGAGCTCASCTCGCTCTGCCCATGCTGGGAATGCCCTGTGACCGCTGCCAACCTGTTCCTGCTGATTGGGGACCATGGAAAGCACTCTGGGCCAGGGATTCCAGGGGCTGCAGGGCAGCAGCAAYGATGAACACATCCCTGTCCCATGCCAGGGCTCTGATTTGGGAAGTGGCAGTTTGTGCAAAGCCAGCTCAGCACCTCAGAGCCCCAGGCCATCACCCCACTG